TTATCCAAAGACTTGGATTATTTTCTAAATTATTTAAAATTTGGCAGAATTCAAATAAAGTTTGCCAAGATTCATCTTCTGCGATTTTAAAATCCAAGGGCAAATTAAAGAAATATAATCTGCAAAGTTGATTTATTTACCCTCACCTCAAAAGCTCTTTTATGTTTGTGAACTTTCTAAACCCTTTAGACTTCTTCATATTTCCTCCAAAAGAACAGTGAATAAATAAGCTTAAAACTCTTAGGATGTTTGAGGAAGTCTGTTTCACAGTTCTAAATGTTGATACTGGGAACATTTCAAGCCTTAAAAACATATTCTCATCTCCTGTGAAGATGGTTTCATCTCACATATATCTTATATTCTAAAAAGTAGTTGTTGAGGTTATAGTAATAGTAACAATAATAATAACAATGGATTTCTGACTAAAATCATGGGCATTCTAAATTATATTTCTTTTTTACAAAATATTGTTTTCTATCTAATTTTCACATATCTTCTGAAATAAATTGAACCTCTGTTTATAGGTTGATGTGCAGCTACTGGGCAACACTGACTGGGCCACTCCAGTTGGTCTTAATAGCACTTTTTAAAAATTTGAAATATTATATTAATTTATATATTTACCTATTTACTATCAAACTGTTCTTTCTTAACAGTAGAGTCTTTGTCATGCATGCAAAGATAACAGGATGATATCTGGAAAGTACTTAATAAGTAATTGCTGGACAAATAATCCAAGTTTCCAGGGCCACAGTGGACTGAATATTGTGGATAATGGATGACTATGGGATACTAATCTCAGGTTTTTCATATTTAGTAGTTATTTTTTAATCCCAGGAGGCATCATATACATTTTTTGGTGTTTTGTTTTTTTTGTTTTTCAGTCCAAGGTTTAAAAATCCAATGTTTATCAACGTCAGGCTGATACTGTGAATGAATATGGCATTTTGTACATAATTAAATAGAAAGTTGTGGGAAACTGGAGAAAACATTGCCCATCTGAAGGCACCTGCTTCTTAGTGAACTGTTACCATGGGCCCAATGCTGCCAGATTTAATATTTAAAGAGAAGCCAAAAATACAAATTTTTATGTGAAACCCTCTAATTTTTAAAAATTTGGTGACTATTACAAAGTTTTATAAAACACAGCAGGCCCAAAACAACAACATTAAAAGGAAAAGTGTTTAAAGGTAGACAAGAGGATTGCAGGGAGATCTGAGAGGCACCTCCCCTCCTTTGTTTCTTTCACTCAACTTTATTCCACCCTCCCCCCAACTCCCTTTATCTTTTCTCTTCTTTTCTAATTTTGCCTCAGAACTTATGATGTCTCCTATGAGTTCCCTGTACACAAAAGTTTCTAAAAAATATTTGTTATTTTTTATCCAAGGAGATAGGGAATAAGAACAGGAATGATACCCAAGGATAAAGACACTCCCCAACTCCCCCCCCCCCCCTCTCTCTCCCTCTCTCTCTTTCTCTCTCTGAATTAAGAACATTGTTGAAATTGAAGTATATCGCACAGAGGGGCCTAGTCATCATCTTTGCATGCATGTGTATATGAGGGTGAAGAACACAGTAAAGTTCTAGCTGTCTCTTATGAAGTCGCTACTGCACGTTAGAAATTATAGAGAAATAATTGCTGGCATTTATTGAGTGTTTGCTCATCACCATAAAAGAAACTCAATACTCAGTAGAATTCAAGGAGAGATGACTCCCACACTTTGTTTCACAAATGAAATTCACAAAAGCAGGTCCAGGAATGTAGAAACTGTAAATCATGAAGCAAGGCCATATAGAATTTACTTCGGAAACTCTGGAGCCTCTGCGACTTTCCAATTTTTGTTTTCTGTTTCTTTGGTTTTTGTTAGTGTCACTTCTGTAAATCTCTTGAAAAAAGGCCTGTGTGCTTCTTTTGGGGGTTGACAAACTTGAGGGGAAGGTGTCGGGCTGTTTCCACTCTCAGCCTGTTTGCATCTTTACACAGGTAAAAGGGTGGTGCTTGGGAAGGCGAGAAAAAGTAAATCGGGGCAAGAAGAGGAATCAGTTGAAGGGGAACAGGCTAAGGCTAAGGCCAAGGAGGACAGCCTGGGACTAAGAGGTAGAAACCCATATGTGTTTTCCATTTGGTGAAAATAAAAATGGAAAATTTTGAAAGTTTTTTTTTTAAGTTGTCCCTTATTTTTATTACTATGGGAGTGATCTAAATGGATTTTTCTCATTTCACCACCGCATTTTCCTATTTGTTCATAAAATTCTGCCTAAATTCTCCACAGCTCTTTGCATCCTGAGGCTGGTGTTCCATTGGCTTCTCTCTCCACAGAAAAGCCCCTGTCATTTCTTCTTTGACCTAGACCTGGTGGGGAACAACAGAAACCCTGATCTCCTGTTTGTGGTGAAGACCATTTATCCACTCTGGATCTTGCCCTGACTTTCAGAGGGAAATCCAGACTGCCGAATCTTTGTTTCCCCAACACTTGGCACAATGACGGGCAGGTAGTCAATGGGACTTAATTCCTCTCTATATAAATGAATAAATGAATATTTCTGAAGTGGGTTTTTAACTTTCTCCAAAGAAGACTGTTCTCATGTTGTTAGCACATAATACTAGGCTAAGATTACAAGGGCATTTAAGGTAAATGTGAGGTAATGACATTTCTGAGAAAGCTTATAAAGGCCAACTAGAAGCTTCCTTCTCTTTGAATTCTCTGTTCCTTCTCTTCCTTCTTTTCCTTCTCCTGCTTTGCTACCTTAGATCCTATCTCACCAGGCACTGGGCAGTTGTGAGAGTGAGAACTGAACCAGAAGCTCTAGACTAAGGATGATTGGGGAGTGGGGTGTGGGAAGAAGGAGGACGGTCAGAGGATCCATTTCACATCATTGCTGTCTATATTACTGCTTGGAGGGAGGAGGGTTTCTCCTGGTCTACTCTGCAAAGTAGGGGAGTATGGTTCCAGTAGAACTCATTTAAGTGACATTCTGTGCAGTTTTCAACAGAAAGGCATCTTGCTGTTGTATGGATAGCTACATTTTTTTTTTTTTGCTCTGATTATAAAATATAGTACACAACATGATCCTTCTGAGGCAGTAGTATCATTTTCCCCATCTTATGGGTGGGAAAACTGAAGCAGAGAAAAGCTAAGTAATTGACTTTGTCACACAGTTATAAGTGTCAGAATCAGGGCTGACCACAAAATGTGCAAGCCAGAGTCCATGCATGTCATCGCTGCATCATCCTGTTGTTTCAGTGTTAGAGTAGCCTTGCCAGGTTTTAATTTTGAAATCTAAGAGACTGTTCCCAATATATAGGGTAGGTTCCCTAGGTCTGGTTGGTGATCAGGGCCATCTGTGGGGCGACTGGCAGGAGGGTTGATTGGGGGGCCCCTACTGGCACCCACCTTGGCCGGCAGCCTGGTATCACCTACCAATTGCTGCCACAGGTCGCCTCCCTCCCAGTCAGGGGAAGTTCCTGTGTTGAGACTCTGCCCCAAGGTGATCAGTGCACATCATAGAGACTGGTTATTCCACCATTCGGTTGATTTGCATATTAGGGTTTTATTATATAGGGTTACACAAATATCTATGTGGGTGTATACTTATATATTATTTGTAAATGTGTAACTATAGTATATTTCCTATTAGAAATTATGGCTCAAATTCCAAAGTGCAAAGTGGAAAGGCAAGCCATCCTTGCCTGTGAACATGGGAGCAGCTCACAATTTAGTCCAGACACTTTGGTCCTCAGAATATTTATTTCTGAGGGAGCAACAACATGTTGATCTCAAGTACTGGGAGTTTCTTTTAAAATCAGGAGGTAATTCTGAACAGATTGACATTCAATGGGTCAGTGGGACCTAACATGTCACCTGACAATTGCTAGCATGAGTGAAATATGGCTCCTAAGCCACTGAGGTACAGCACTGATCTGGAAACAATTTTAACTTGAAAAAAACATAAAAAATATGGATGCACATAATACCTCTCAACAGCCTAAGAATAATTGTGTGCTGGCAGAGAGGAGGAAATGGATTGAAGATTAACACTGAAGATGCAAGTACAATGCTTTCATCATATTGGTGAACCTCTTCATTTTGTAATTCTGTGAAAATCCCATGAGCATTTTGAATTTTTCAAAGTATTTTCTGTATTTTAATTTTTAAAGCAATGGATCATTTAGGACTCCTACATTCTTTAGCTAAAGATTCGTCATTGAGTTTCCTTTACTGACAGTTAACTTTTAACCAAAGGTATTCCCCACCTTAGCTATTAAAAGCTTTTAATAATTGTTGCTACACACTTTTCCCTCAAAGCACAAGACCTGTTATTGTTGTGTTTTTCCCCTGGTTCATAATTTGAGCTTCTCTTCATAACTTTTACAGAAACATACCTTTAATATTGCTGGATAATGTATAGACAAAGTCTTAATTTAAATTTATCAGTCCATAGTATCTTCCAACTTTTAGCATATGGAGGTTGGTGTTAATCTAAACTCTTTTTAAAAGAATTCATTTATCACTAAACATAATGCTTATGTTTTTTGTTTTCTAATGTAATTGTTCATTGCTACTGCAACTAAACTTTTGAAAAGATGCATAATAAAACAAACAAACACAAAGCCATCATTTCTGTTTTAACTTTTCAATTCATACTCAGTTTTACTTTCCATGAGGCAATCTGTGAAAGCAATGTTAGTAAAAAAATATTGCCTCTAAAAGTCTGTCAAAGCTTGTAATTCAATGTATATTTGGGAAGGTGTGGGAATGATACAGAAAGTGCTTAGGTTTTTCTATTGCTGAAATAATATTGAAAAATCTCTTTCTACTCCTGCCTGAAATTCCTCATGATTTCTGGTTGCACAAGAACATATCTGTGAGCTTATAAGTCCTCATGGAAATAACAGATTTACTTTGGAAAATAAGCACTTTGGAAATGTTCAGTCACTTGCGACCATGTGTTAGTGCATTTTCCAAGGCTGACAGAGCAAATTAGAGAAAAATTCTTACCTCTCAAAGGACGTAAGACAATGCACATCACCAATAAAGCAAGCACAGCAGAGGAGGCGATTCCGAATACAATTTTTAACCAAGTCTATGTAAAATAAAAGTGAATTAGATATACACACAGTTTCTGCTAAGTAGTAGAAAAGACAAGATTTTGTTTGCCGTTAAATCTTAGCTCTCCTTCACACAAACTTTTGATTGTCCTCCGCTGGTCCAGCTATAATTGCCGGAATTTTTCCAGCTCCGCACAGACAAATGTCTCTACAGTATATTTAGAATAATCTCCCATCTCAACCCACTCCAGGAAGTACATACTTTACGGACAAATCCTCACCTTCTAAACAATATAAAACATTGTTCGCACTTAATTCTCATTCTGCCAGCCCTCATTCTTTAGCAACACCTGAGTTTGCATATACTAACCTTCATTTTTCCAGATGTTTGTGAAAGTCAGCTAATTCTGACTTCGGAGTGTGGGTCACTGCATCTGTGAAAACCGTTGAAAGGAAGCAAGTCTGTCTTCTTTGGAGTTGGAAGCCGAAGTTAGGACAAGTTTTTTTTTCTTTCTTTCTTTTTTTTTCTTTCTTTCCACGGACTTTTCAAAACCGTGCCAAATTTCAAAAGATTTCTGTAAAATTAGAAACAGATTTTGGGGGCGTTCTTGGCCTTGAAATGAACTGTGAATGGCTTCAGGGAGGTTTTACAGCCTTCTCATCCTTGTAAATTCTACACCAACATCTGCTTACGTTGACAGACAGAGGTTTTTAAGCCTTTTTTTTTTTTTTTTTAAACAAGTTTAGTTTTATGTTTCATTTTCTTCTAGAAATCTCTCACCGATTACTTTGGCAATTTATTGAGTTTCATATAACCTTTCTATTTGCCACCCAAAGAAGAATTAAAATAGCACCAAATTTCAGGTATGTGTAGTACACATACTCTAATTTCGAGGAGAGAAAGAAAATCACAGCCATGAAAGATTTTGGGAGAAATATGCCATGTAACTGTACTTTTCTTCCTCTAAGACACTGTGAGGTACTGCAGACAGAAATGTTTTCCTTTCAGCACAAATTCTTTGTCCATATAGCACCATATGCACTTCCAGTAAATACAGAAGTTTAAAAATTCAACTGTCTAAACCCACGGCTGCTTTCCTTTAAAGAAATAAAATGCCATCTGGTGAAATTTAGTATGGGTTAGGTGTGTATGCACAGGCCAGAAAGATGGAAAGATCAGGAAGAATAATTTCCCAGCAGACCTTTGGAAGAATGGAAATGGCTTTGCGAAAGTGATATTTTTGCTTCCATTTCAGAATGTCTTCTGAGAGAGGAGAACATTTAGCAATAATAAAGCCTTTAAAATAAACACAAAAACATTTGAAAAGAGAAGGAAGCCATATGTACAATTTCATTTTGTCTGAATCCACCTAATTGCAAAGCAATGGCTCACTATGCCAGATCAGTAAGATGGGTGAGTGAATTGAAAGCATACCTATAGCAGGGTCCAGGAGGACTCTGGCTGGTTCAGTGCAATGCACATGGACAGAGCCTATGTTCCACGCCAACGGTTAGTTATTAGCCTTCTGTGTCTCTAGTTTTTCCACTAATCGTTTTCTCCTTTTGAAGTTTATAATGTTCTCAACCTGACTAACACAAACTCCAGGGCGACTTTTCAGGGGATGTTTATGGAAGATCATGAGGAAACATTATCGAAATCTGTTGCTGTTTGCTTTTGTCCACTGGTGTGGCTATCATGGGAGGCTTTCTCCAGCAAACAGCAGGATGGAGGCTTGTGAACTTCCTCTCAGACATTCTCTAGACAGCCCTCCCTGAATTCCAGTCTCATGAAAATTCTGTTGAGGAAAATGAGTCACTAAGCACTTACTGGCAGAGAGCTGTAGCCACCCTGCTTCCACATGAGGCCCCTCCTTTGCAGTTGATGGGGCCAGCTGAAGCAGTCATTAAGCAGTCATCAAGAGCAATATCCACGTTATGCTACAGGCCAGTATGTATCTCCGTGTGATGGTGAGATCCTCAAATCTAAGGGAAAAGCCACCAGTCAGCTCCCAATTAACTACTCCCAGGTGGGACCACTCAAGTTGACTGCCTTCTTTGGAAAATCCACGCAGCATGTTCTCTGAAGTTCTGTCCCAGCTTGCCAAAGCCCCACAGCCCATAGTACTTTTTAGTGGGTTATTTCCAAGACTGAGTGCTCTGAAGAAAAACGGACTGTCATAAGTGATTAAGGTGTCATTAAAATAGATAGTATTTGCTCTAACAATTAAAAATGCACTGACATGAGACTAGCCCGTGTACCGCTTAGGATTGCAGCCAACTGTGGGCATCCACAGGCCCATGAAGAAATCGGGGTGTTTTAAGAGGGACAACTTTTAAGTTGAAACTGTGAGGGGGGAAATTATGAGTCTAAAACATGTTTATTTTGTTTTGTTTGGGTTTGGGTTATTCTGGTGATTTCTTTTTCAAATTTTGGGTGATTTGAACTGCAACTTACTGTTATAAGCTGTTTTAAGAAAAAAAAAAATGAAACTGACTACAGAAATTAAATGGAAAGAGGTTTTCTTTCCCCATTTGATTAATAATATATTACTTATAACAGAGTGACACATCTCCACCCTTTTGAGATAATGTGTAAGAGTTCCAATTTTTCTCCAGATGGGGAATCCTACAAAAATTTGGATTATTTTACTTTATAATGTATTTACTGGCTTTTTCTCCTTTTAAAGTCAAAATGAAAATGCTAATGTTAATACTTAAAAAAAAACATTAAAGAAACTGACCATTATTCTTATTTTACACAGCACCCAGTAGACTTTTTTTTTTTGGCGGGGGGGGGGGGGAGGAAGGGGTAGGAGGTAGAATATGAAAAAGTCTCAGCCTGTGTCTTCAGAAAGCTTACCTTCTAGGACAATCGTGGCAGGTGGGTTCTTACATACGCTTTTTTTCCTCTTCCTGGAGTTCTGCTGAGAGTTAGCCTCAAGCTGGATTGAGCTTAGCAGGAAAGAGCCCCCTGGCTGGTTGTGGATTTCTGCAGGGACCCAGGGAGAGGGGCAGAATGTACACAGCACATATTTGTAAAATCCTTAACTCAAGTCTAATTTTGTCAGACTGGAACTTTTCTCAAAAAGCTGTGTATCTATTAGAATGCCACAGAAGTAGAAAGTATGACTTTGACTGTAAAAATTAAGAACAAGAATTAGGATAATAGATGCTCAACTGGGCTTTTTTTCCAGATATGGACCTTATAAGACTTAATTTGGAATATGACTACATTCTGGAGAAATTAACTAGAACATAAATCCTCAACTTTCTAAAAGAGTTCTCTAGAACTGTTTAGTAATAGCCATTGTAGGTCTGCTAAAAATTATTTTGGTTTAGTTGTTTTCCCAGAAAATACACTCAGCTATATATTTTTAAAGTGTGAAGGTAAGACCATGCTGCAAGCATAGTAAGGATGTTGTCTTTTTATTGGTGGGTAGGGAGAGAAAGAAAAAGGGAAGCATTTGTTTACCTAAAGCTAAGAAATATTATTTAAGAATAAGTAATAAGCAAGGGAACCCTTTCTCCTGGAGTCATCAAGGGGAGGCCAGTAGACTTTATCAGGCCCAAACAGACAAAGCGTTGGCTGTGCAAATGGAGGGTTTTTCATCTGTCAGGCATGCAAGGATTGGCCTCCTCCCAGAGTTACAGTAGGCAGTGTCTGTCACCCCTTGAGTCTCTCTGGACCTCTACACCCTGAGCCCAAGCAGCTGATTTCTCTTGCAGGGCATGAGCTCCCTGAGGGTGGGGATGATACATTCCTCCAGGCTAATGTCATATGGTGGGAAGAGCTTGACCCAAGAATGATGGCATCTGTATGTGGTATGAGAGAGGGACTCATCACAGGGAGCCTGGCCAATGTCTCTTCAGCTCTTCCTGGAGCCACACCTCAGTCTCTCCTCACACACTCTAGTTTGCCCTGCCCTCCCTCTGCCAGAGACCAGAGTGAGTGACTGTAAGCAAGATTTTGTGAATTGGTCCTTTAAGAGGGTGCCTGTGTTTCTAGCAGACTCCTCTCTCTCCCCTTGAACAGAATCCCCAGTTATTTTTACAGCCTGGTAATATGTGGACTCCTCTTCCTTGCTCTGACACTCTGGGTCTAGAAGCCAGGCCTGGGGCTGGGACTCCACACTTCTCAGGGGAAATCTTTGCACCTGAAAATCCCCTCTGAATACTTAGCTATCTCAGGTGTGTGTGGGGGGCCACGCCTTTTAGTATCTCCACTCTTCCTACTCGTTTTGATGTGTCTTCTTCTGTGAATCCTTGGTTTTCAGACTTCTGTTCACCTAGTCTTCAGTTGGTTATTCAGCTTGGTTTTTCTATAATTTAGTTGTAATTCAAGTGTGTTCCTGAGAGGAGGTGAGGCTAACTTCCACCTATCCCACTGCCACCTTAGATCCTCAATCAGATCTTCTTTTTTGAGTAACTGATTCTAAGTTTGGGTTGTTTTCATGTTACTTGCAAAAAGTCTCAAGAGTCACATAACTGATGGAATATAAAAGTAGAATCTTAAGAATATTCTCTACTGAGAAGCATGAGAAATGTTACTGAACCCACAGAGAAAGAAATGTAATTCTATCCAACTAATTAGTTCAGAAGCATTATTTACATAGTACACAAATTATAAAAATACTAGAGGCCCAGTGCACAAAATTTGTGTACGGAGTGGGGGGTGTCCTTCAGCCCAGCCTGCACCCTCTCCAATCTGGAACCCCTTGAGGGATGTCTGATTGCTACACCAGATTGAGCCTAATTGGGTGTTCAGACATCCCTCTTACAATCCAGGACAACTGGTTCCCAACCACTTGCCTGCCTCTGCCTGATTGCCCATAACCACTTCTGCCTGCCAGCCTGATCACTCCCTAACCACTCCACTGCCAACTTGATTGACAACTAACTGCTCTCTGGCCAGCCTGATTGCCCCTAACTGCCCTCCCTGAATCCCTGATTCCCCCAAACTTCCCTCCCCTGCTGTTCTGGTCCCCCTTAACTGCCCTCCCCTGTAGGCCTGGGTCCCCCTCAACTGTCCTCCACTGCAGACCTGGTTCCCCTCAGCCAACTGCCCTCTACTACAGGCCTGGTCCCCCTTAACTGCCATCCCTTGCTGGCCTGGTCTCCCCCAACTGCCCTCCTCTGATGGTCATCTTGTGGTGGCCATATTGTGTCCACATGGGGGCAGCCATCTTTGGCTATACAGGAGTGGCCATCTTGTGTCTTAGAGTGACAATCAATTTACATATTACTCTTTTATTAGATAGGATAATTATAAAAATATAATCATAGCAATGTTAAACATTGCTTGAAAACAAAGAAATGCAAAATAAAATACCAAAATGGGATAATTTTCACTTACTGGATTAACAGATTTACAAATGG